AGTCCGCCACAAAGCCTCGTACTGATCGCGCGTTTCTCTCATTATTGTATTTTCATATATTTGTTAGTCGTTTGTTTTGTGTCTCGTTAATTTGTTAATAATCTGTAGTGTATCGTGTTGTCGTAATATAGAACTATTTCTCGTATTGTTTCGTTTAATTTTTTATATCCAGTAAACTCCAGTCGTGCGTCGGAGCGGACACACACACTTTTTTTTTTAGTATTATACCAGCATACTGCGATCGTCGACTAACATTTAGATACCACCATCCAGCCTAGTTCTGGCGTTAAGTCATGCGTTTTGTTTTCAAGGGAAGCCCTAAAACTTATGAATGTCTCAAGGTAAGTGACGGCATTCACCTTGTGATAAGCTCCGGTGACCACTTTACACTAGGTGATTCGTAACCTAGATCATTCAGATACGTCATAAAAGTATATTTAAATAAAGCTTATAGCGAAGGGCACTCAGTTTCACAAAATGTTAGCGGTTTTTTTTTGTGGTATCTATCCAGTTTTCCGAAAAGAAAACTGCCAACAGAATGGATACCAACTTAAAATACAGATTTGGCTTTGGCAGAATTTGGTCTACATCCAATATGTTATAGGTTAGCCCCAAATGTTATGGTCTGTTCGTTTCGACTGATATTACGATATGTCTCGTGTGACAGAGCATATCAGCTGTGTCCGGACGAAGATGAGGAAGAAGAAGAAGAAGGTCGGGAGGTTGCCGAAGGCTCCGGGTCGGGCGAGCCTGGCGAGGACAGCGGCGACGAGGACGAACCACCAGACGACGAGCCCCGACGTCTGCAGCCCCACGCGCTCTCCGGAGTCTGAATGTGCTCGCTCTAAATGCACTTATCACGTGTCCACCGTGTGTGACTGTTTGCCTGCATGTCCTGCGGACTGACCCGGAGCTGCTGTGTGAGAATGAAATTCGCCGAGTTTTTGTTAGAGATACGGTGTCGGCCCCGAGGGCTTGATGTTGTTGCGTGAGGACTCGACAGTCTCGGCTTTATTGCACTTTGTATTCTGTGATGTAAGCCCGCACGCCTCCATCCCGACGGGAATGCGTTTTAGTCTCTCATAGAACTTAATTTCGCTTTAAAAGTAAATATTTTATTAATTTCTATGGGAACGTTCCATGAGAGCTCTTTCGAAATAGAATAATTTTAATTTGGTTCCTTCAAAAGTTTGTATCGTTAAAAGATTAATTCTAAAACATTAATGGGAAATCATTGGACATGGAACGTTATAATTTTAAAAGTATTATTTATTACATTAGAGTACAACAGGTGATTTTGCATTTCTATGAAAATTTTGTTACTAAATTTGTACATGACCACATTATTGATATTTGTCAAAGGCTTACAGAATTCATTATATGAAAAGGTTGGTAAGTTTTAATGGTCATAATATTAAGCTATTTCGTTGTACATTTAAATTAGAAACGAATATTAGTTTAAATAAGTTGATCGTCAATTGTATACAGTCTTTAAAACTTTGCTTTTGCGGAATACTATACCTTTTTTTACTATTTCACTGAATATATTTGCCTACTATTTTATTAACCTGGAAATAAAACATCACCAAACTCTACACAATAGCTCCGTAACGTATAATTTTTTTATTAATAATATAGAACACCGTCTGTAAATATGAGAAAACCGAGGTCATGTGCATTTTATTCTGGCCTAATAAAAAAAGGAAAAACGTTTTTGTTTAATATGTAACGAAATTTTAGTCTGTAATTTGAATAAAAAAATGTGAAAATAGATATAGGGTGATGAAACTGCTAGTCTAACAGGAAATTGTTGCCACTATATCAATGTTCTGCTTTGTATGATAATGTGTTATTTATTTTTATATTTCACGTTGTAAAAATGTTCTCTTTTAATTTAATTTAGATTTAATGTTCGAGCTACCAGGCTGTAAACTGTGTTAATATTTATCACACAACCAATCACCATTGTAATATAAATGTTAAATTGTAATCTTTTCATTTCATACAAATTATTGTTTAACGTTTTTTTTTATTTGTACCACCGTTGTATATAAGAGTATCTTTTATCATTTTCAAAGCACTAAAAATCGATTGGACCATTATTATTCTCGTTGTAGTGGCTGCGTGAATCGAGTGCCTTAATTTATTTTTATTTGCTCAATGCTTGCACTTTAAACTCTAACAATGCTTTTATTTTGACGAAACTGATAGAGTGGTACTAATTAATTTTGACTAAGTGTAGTTTCAATAAATTATCAATACTTGTCTAACTACGTACGGTTAATCCACTAAATGCTTATCATTATATTCGATTAAAATTATACAAATGAGTCGGACAGCCCCATACATCACGTTGGTGCCGGTATCCATTCGTATAGAATATTAATGAAATCTATTAGAATAATATTAGTGAAGACTGTCAATATTTTCATTTGAACTTAGATGCTGTGGTAACTAGATGGAATACATTCTCATGATTGAATTTTACGAACAGTTTCATAAAATACAGGATTATCTTTACGATACGTGGGTTGACAATGTTTTGAATAACATTGTCCCCACTTTATACGGAAAAATCGTAGGAAATTCTTAGTGTTTATTGTCGACAGCGCTAGTGGAGTGGAAACAAAAATTCGATTGCAACATCTTTTGTAAACAAAAGACTCGCTACGTTTTATAAAGTTTTTTTTTTACTTTTCTTAAACCAATTTACGTTGTAACTTGGTGAATGATAACATAAAGAAGGCGCGTTATAGTTATTGTGCATTAAAGGTGTCGTAGAAAGATCTAGTAGTTAATGTAAAAATCGCTGTACCTTGATGTCCGAGGTCATACGTGTATAATAAACACAAAACGTGTGTGATGCGACTGCTGTGTATTAAAAAACTATTATAGATATTATTTGTGAAAAATAGCAAAGTTTGTAAACAGACACTATGAATTAAATTCCAATTGAGAAGAAATTACGTTCACATTTGTAACACGTGGTGGCAAGCTAACCGGGACTGCACTCCAACGGTCACTGTGGATAAATAAATGATAGATCGATACTAATTGGTTTCGTCTAAATTTGTTTAGATCGCATCATTTTAATTCGCGTATATATATAAATATATATATACGCTTTATTTACTATATGATTATTAAGTTCGAAGTGCAGACCGTTAGAGTGACATATGGACATCTTAAAGTTTAAAGTGAAATTACAACTAAACTATCTAATGTAGAGGATTACTATCAAGTTCAACGATATTTAATTAAATTGTAAATCACGATCAAATTTCAAATTGCGGATTGTCCAATAATGTACTCTGAAACTTGCAATGCAACTTGGCTGTGTGTAGTTTGTCGTACAGTTTGAAGATTTGGCAAACTTAGATAAAACATTTGTATCGGTCTGTATTACAGCCGAAGTCAAAATGATGGCAATACAACAGTGTTTTAGGGGTACGTATTTATTCTATGCTTTAACCATTAACAGGCGTAATCGCTATTTGTATTTTTTATAGGATACTTAACATAGTAGTAACTATGAGTGAAAAACTGGGCGGTAAATGCTTACTGTTGTTGATGTTATTACCAAAGATGGCGCTCTAGACAAGGGTGTTAGGTGACCCTTTTTTTTAAATAGCTTAATGAATTAAATGTTTTTGTATCTTTTATAAAAGCAAGTTTATAATGTTATGTTGAGTGGAGATGTAATGTGATTGAATTTAGATTTAGTAGAAGTATAATGACGAATGGTATTTTAAAATAAAATCCACCGCTTAAACTAGTTGGTATACATAATAGGCTATCATTCATGTAACGAATACAAGCAAAATCATCTGCATGCCGAATGCATATAAGTATGTAAAAAAACGAATATAAAAGTACAGAAAAACAATCAGACCAAGCATTACTAACAACTGGCATGCGAGCAATCCGAAATTCTGCATTTTTCATTAAGTGTGAAGATCATAAAAACTTTAATAATGTATTGATAGAATTAAGATCAGTTGAGTTTTGTAACATTTCTATGTCAAAATAATATATTAATAAAATGGCATTTGACATAAACGGTGGATGCTAAAAAGCATTCAATCAGATATGATATTAAAAATCAAGAAATAAAAAACAATTATTGTGTTTTATTTTTACTATGTCATGTATTGATTGGTGTGCGTCACAGTACGGGCTTAGAGCAGCTACGGCACTAATGCGACTTAAACGCAATAATTTGTTTTCAGACTAGATCCTTAATGAACGTTTTGAAAACACGTTTTCGTCCCTTGAAGGGCGAGAAGAGTGACAACACAGAAAATGTGCTTTTTAATTGTCTATGATCAGCTTCGAAAAATACTTTAGCGTTTTTGATACTCCGTTTTTTTTTTTTAAAGAAACCGCCGCAATTTTTTTTGTATTTTACCACCGCTCTCCCTATTTCTGCCGTTGTACTGTAAAAAACGTGACAAATATGTCTCAAGGTGAGTGGCGGCATCTATACTGTCTACTATGTCTATGTGTCCGGTAACCACTTTCATCAGGTGGGCCGTAAGCCTTTTCACACCCTCCTAAACAATATAAATAAAAAAGTTGCTTTTTAGGGCAATCTTTGATACTTGAGAAGCACGTGAGGAATGCTTCTGTGTGTACATTTGTCAGAGTAACCACGACCAATCTGAAAACAGTGTCCGACTAACAAGAAGCCTTGAAGACAGAAACGACGGTACAGCAATTTTTATTTAAAAAATTATAGAAAAGTCTAATTTCAGCCTGAGACTAAAATCTAATTCATGTCATACATATTTTAATATTAAATTTTACCGTTTGAACTAGAGCTGTACTAGAACTATGTAACTATTTACGTAGTTTCAAATTATTCAACCCATGACCTGTAACATTTTGTTGATAAAGTGAAGACAAAAGAGCTTATCTCAGTTAATTATAATTATTTAGTACGTCACACATCTAATAAGACGCTTATTAAAATAATAGAGCTCACCGCGTTTTCGGCAATAATGGAAAAGTATGTAAGTGTTAAAGATTTAGAAGAAGCGGCCCTCAGACTTCTTCCAAAATCTGTGAGAGATTATTATAAAAGTGGTGCTACAGAAGAACAGACACTAGGAGAAAACAAAAAGGCCTTTCAAAGGTATGGTTTATTATTACGTAATAGCATCTAGTGTAGAATCTAGATTAAAATATTGATAAAAATAATAAATTATAGGCTGCGAATAAGTCCAAAGTGCTTAGTTGGTGTAAATAATTGTGACCTTCGAACAACAGTGCTTGGAAATGAAATCTCAATGCCTATTGGTATATCTGCTACTGCGATGCAGCGCATGGCACACCCTGACGGAGAACTTGCTAATGTTAAAGGTTAGTGACCTCCATTATGTAATACAATTTGAGGGTGAATGACCAGATCTAGATTTCAGCAGCTTCGTTTACAACTCTCAAAATTGTCTATCTATAATTAGAGGATATCCATGAGTTCCGCATTATCGAAAATCTGAAAGTCGTTTTGTTTACAAATGGAAATAACTAGTTAAGACATGAGATCTAACATGAATGCACAATTAGAATTAGAATAATAATATTTACCTACTGCATATAATATTTGCTTTACTTTGTACAGTTTAATGTATTGGATTATTATTTTTTTGACGGCCGTCTGGTGTAGTGGTAAGTGACATGGTCACTACACAAGGGGGTCGCGGGTTCGAATCCCGCCAAGGGAAGATATTTGTATGATAAATATAAATGTCTTTTCCAGGGTTATGGATGTATATTAAATATATGTATGTGTATAATTAAAAATCTTACATTTATTTCCGTTATCTGGTACCTGTAACACAAGTTCTTTACGAACTTATCACGGGACCAGTTAACGTGGCGTGATTGTTAGTAAATATTTATTTTTATGTATATTCTAAAGAGAACAAATGTGTGAATATGTTTTTTTGCAAAATTAGCTGCTGCTAAGGAACAGACTATATTTATGTTGAGCACCATCGCCACAAGTTCTATAGAAGAAGTAGCAAACGCAGCGCCAGATGCAACTAAATGGTTTCAACTTTACATTTATAATGATAGGTTGGTTTTTTTAAATGTTTCATTTTATTAAGATTGAGAAAAACAAAATGTATAATTATTTTTCGTAATTTGTTTTAGAGAAGTAACAAAAAATTTAGTGCTGCGTGCAGAAAAACACGGATTTAAAGCAATAGCGCTAACTGTAGATACGCCATTATTCGGTTTGCGACGCGCAGACGTCCGGAATAAATTTACATTGCCCCGACATTTAAGGTAAAAAATTACGGTAGTTTTGATATGTTTCCTAAAGTATTTATTTTATAGATTATAGACGGTGAAATGTGCTCGCGGCCCCTCTGTCGAAATACGATTCCCGGACCCCATAGACAGCCCAACGTGAATGCCGCCATCCACCTAGATACATGAGACTATAGTCTCAATTGCTATTACATAATATGTCCTACCGTCTATGTAAGTGGATTTTGGCAATTGCAGTACGCTGGTACAAATCCTGAGAGACCGCTGTGTCCCATTGTCCAATGAATCCCGTAGTCATCTCCGACATCCACGAGAAGCGGTGATTGATGGTGTGGTGCTATTCTAGACCGACACTTCGCTGCCAAATATTCATCAGCCATACATAGCTATTACGTTATGTGTTATAATTTTAATAATAAAAAATCGGGTTATCATTTTCAGATTAGCAAATTTCGATGGTATTTTATCTACAAAGATACACAATACGAATAATGGAAGTGGTTTAAATGAATATGTACAAAATCTATTTGATAAATCAGTAACTTGGAATGACATAAAGTGGTTGAAAAGGTAAAATTTCGATAGTTTTTTTTAATTGCTTTTGATTCGCTTACGATTGATGGCAGAACTTCTTGTGAGCCCATATGGTAAGTACCACCCTGCCTATTTCTGACGTGAAGCAGTTACGTTTAGTTTTGAAAGGTGGGGCAGCCGTTAATCTGTTAAAAATAGGTTTTAGAACTCTTGTTTTAAGCTGAGTGGCGGCATTTAAGTTTATTAGGTAATTTACAATTTACAATTACGTAAATTCTATGGGTTCCGGTAACTAGGTAACATCGGGTGGGCTGTGAGTTCGTCCACCCATCTAAGCAATAAAAAAAAGACTTCGCTTTCCATCTGGAAATGAATCTGATGAATGATTCCATCTGGAATCTATGTACGTTATGTACGGGACTGTAACTTCTCCTTTGTCGTATCACTCTTGTCAGAGTGGTCGTGATCGTCATTCAGTATCATTGCTGTGGGCAGATGTTATGCGCCTCGCGAGCAACCGCCACTTCCCCAGGTTTGTGAGATAAAAATAATAACATAATAATTATGCACCGCTATTCAATAATGTCATCTTGAGATATGAGAAGAAAGTCTCCATAGTATTGTACCGTCCTTTACGAAATAAACAGTCCGTAGTCTCATGGAGATTCATTTTAAGCGCTACCGCCAGGAAAATATTATGAAAAGACTATTACAGACAAATCTGTAAATCGAGCTAATTTCACAAAACAAATCGTAGTAGGTGGATTTTTTTTTTAAATTTAAAGTTTTAATTAATAAATAATTGCTAATTACATATATAAAAAAACAACATTTTCTTGGAACTACTCGTATGGCAATTACACCGTACATTGATCGTACCTTAAAGTCATGTACTATTCTAGTGCTAATAAATTATTTTAGTGTCGTCAAAATCAGTGCAATAGTTTTTACGTGAAATAATAACAAACATCGATCCTCACAAACTTTTGCATTTAAAATATTAGTAAGATTCACTACCTATGGTTTTTTTTTCTTCATTTTTTATAACTTTTGTTAATTTCTCTATTAATTTATAGTATCACAAGTCTCCCAATAATAGCAAAAGGTGTTCTTCGTGGCGATGATGCTGTAAAAGCGGTAGAAGCTGGCTGTTCTGCTATTTTGGTATCTAATCACGGAGCAAGACAACTTGATGGAGTTCCAGCAACTGTATGTTTTTTTTAATTGTCATCCCGATCATATTGACACCCATTGATTTTGGTAATACCAAGGGCAGAACCACGCAGCTTAGGGAGATTATAATAAATAATAAGAATATTAACAAATAATTGAAAACAAATCACGTACGTTTTTCCGGCCGCAAATTAGGATTCCCTGTGCTATGAGAGACTGATGTACATACTTATATACCTTCATATACTTTTATACTCGTATATAGATAATAAACACCCAGACAAAGAACTAACAAACCTATTCATCACACGAATGTTTGCCCAATGTGGGAAGCGAACCCACAACCCTCGGCGCAAGTCAGGGGTGCTGACCACTACACCAACGAGTCTCTCATATTTCTGAAGTTCAACGGAGAAAACATCTCTCATCATCTCGTTTGTGTATGCCGCGTATCTAAATTAATTGGGTCAATATAATATGTTTTATTCCTCAAATCATAGATTGAAGCTTTGCCGGAAATTGTTGAAGCCCTAAAAGGTTACGACGTCGAAATATTTCTGGACGGCGGCGTCTCCACTGGCACTGATGTCTACAAGGCTTTGGCGCTTGGTGCAAAAATGGTAATTTTCATCTGGTCTGAAAATTCCTGCATAAAGTGTTTTTAATTCGACCTTATAATAGTTATTAGATAGATTTTGATGAACTGGTTAATTCACTTTTACTCGTGATAGGACCCCTTGTGAGTCCGCACGGGTAGGTACCACCACCCTTTTTTTTTTAACGCTGGGGAATCAATTTACAGATTCCCGGTCGAGGGGGGTAACGGACCGGGTTATGTCGGACTCCTAAGAGGAAGAAGGGGAGAGGAGTAGGGCCGAGTTCCTTCACCTCCCCCAATTTCTCACAGGAGACTACGCCTTGAAAAAGGCGCGCAAAGTACTTGCCCCGCAGAACGACTACCGACTAAACCCCATCGAGCTTCACCACACCGACTACACGAAATTTACGGTACCGCGGTGCGCGCCGAAAAGATACCACCACCCTGCCTATTTCGGCCGTGAAACAGTAATGCGTTTCGGTTTCGCAGGTGAGGCAGCCTTTGGACTGTAAAAATGAGACCTTAGAACTCATATCTCAAGGTAGATTTACGTTGTAGATGTTCATGGGCTCCGGTAACCACTAATATCAGGTGGGCTGTGAGCTTGTCCACCAATCTGAGCAATAAATAAATAATAAATTGGATTAAGCGAAAAGAGATTTTTTGAATTGATGACATGTACTATTTTGAAAGGTTTTAGTGGGTCGTCCGGCACTGTGGGGTTTGACTGTAGGAGGGCAAGCCGGAGTGCAGAGGATGTTACAGATACTCCGTACGGAGCTTGAATATACGCTTCAGATTGCAGGTACAGTATTTATTTATGAAGCGTAGGCACACATATATGACGTCATATCCATAAAACGTACAATGTCTACAGGAACCCCAACTGTCGCGGACGTCACGAAAGAAATGGTGAGGCATGAAAATTCGTATTGTAAACTTTGATTTTCTATCGAACGTAACAATAAAACTATGAATGAGAGTGAGTGTAATTCATTTATTTCATAATTAATTTCCTATAAAGATTGTAAAGTACTGTCGGTGTCATGTAGCTCTCTAAAGGCCACATTGATTTAGAAATTTTCTGAAATACAAGTAAATATTTAATAAAGGTTTTACATGTTTGACTGACGAACTTTTAGGTTAACTGTGGCTCTTTTTATTATTTAGACCAAGGCTCATAGATATCACTACGTGAATACCCTCACTGATCTCCAACGCTTGCATTCTCTCATCTGACGTCAGTTTTCCAGTCAGAATCCGGGTAGAGCAGAGGGGACCCTGCGGTCAACATTAAAACCGGAATTGCGACGCCACAGCTAGGACACTCAATCGATGGGTCGACGAGGCTTCCATCACCCAACTTGAGACATATTTTCCCCTAACTAGTCATTAGCCTAAGGGATTATTCTAACTGAATCTAACTACATATGGTTTGGTAGGCGACCTCACAGGGGTCAACCTGGGAGGACTTGGTAACACTAGTCCTATCACCGGATCGGAATCACGACCCACCACGAAGATACGGTGAGAAATTTAGTTGGTTACGTCTATGGGCTCTAGGGTGCACGTCTTGGTGCTATTCTACGACGTCGACCAGAACGGTGGCTGGTGCTTGGAGTGCTTAAAAGCACTGAAAGTCGATCGGAAGGATCTGACAGGATTTTCTAGGGCAGTTTTTTGTTGTCCGGTCGTCAGGGTCGGGTAGTATTTAATGTTACTGAGACCTGAGGTCTAAATTTCAATTGTATAGTAAAACGGCTGTCACACCCTTCGCACCGGAAAGCATTACTACTTCGCAGCAAAAATAGGTGTGATAATGTTACCTACCCGCGTGAGCTCTTTAGACACCGTATCATCAGTAATGCTAGCCGACTTTTAGTCAAAGTCTCAGCATTATTATAATATTTACTTTCCGAAGCGCATAATTTCTTCGCGGCAGAAATAAGTAGTAAGTACGATTGTACCAACCAGTCCATGGTCACACCATCTCATATACTATCTTTGATCAAGAAAGGAATGAGGGATAAGAAAAAAGGCGACATAATTTATAAGATACAAAAATGTAGACCTTGAAATCGCAGCCATACACATTGATTCCCATTTTAAGTTTCTTAACGGTTTGCTGAAGGTGTTTGTCGTCCAGAATTTTATGTTGTAAAGCATCAGTGTCATTACAAGTTTGGCACGAGCTGTTGAGCCCGCCGGCGGCGTACGGGTCTCGCGGCTCCGTCGACGTAACGTCCATCAATACTGCATCTCTTTTACGCATGTAGTTTGTGAAGCTGAACGAGCAAGACGGAACTCGCCTGTCGCTCGTTTCAGATTCGTCACCATTCCGTTCATAATTCCTACTTCCGAAAATATTTTTGACGGTTTTCATGAGCGTTGTGCAAGAATTATTGATGACATTGAATAATCTGGAGCCTAAAGATCGATTTTTTAACATTCTATCGATTTTTTTATTCGATATTTTTTGTTGGTGTTTCGACGCTGTTTTTTTAGTTTTAAACGAACGTTTATTAATTGTAGTACTCTTACTGTGAGTGTAGTTCGAATGATTCGCTGACCGTAAATCGGTTTCGTTAAAACTAAAGCTGTGCTTTGGAGTTGAAACAAATATCGGTTTAAAATCGATAACGCTCAAATCACATTTTTGATTTAATTCAGAGCCTTTCAGTTTCGATTTAAAAGATTCCATCCAATCGGTCTGAATGTTTCCAATGTTCGTGTAATTAACGCGAGACTGCTCATTAACATTTCTTGATGTAGTTTGAACGTTGTCTACAATTTTATGGTCAGAATTCTTGGACTCATAAAGATGTGTATCATCGAATTTATACCGCGGAAATCGCTTTTGCAAAAAACTAAACGACAATTGTTGCGACTCATGACGAATGTATTCATTATGTTTGTTATTTTTGTTTATTTTTAAATTTTTATTGAACGTTCTGCTCCGCGTGGTAGAATATTTTGGCAGGATCACTCTTTTGGGCACAATACAACTTTGATTTTTTTCTAATGCCTTTATTTTGACATCCCACATCGCGGATTTGTTACGGGCGACTTCATCGTTAGGTTGCCATTTTGCTATTTCTTTGATAATACTTCGAAATAACAAATTCGTATCATCGTAACTAATCTGTTTTTTGACATTTTTTAATGAATCGTTCGATTCGAAACGTTCTGGTTTCTTTATTTTTTCATTCAAGTTTTTATCTGTTAAATGCTCTAAGAAGAAGAAAAATAATTAGGACAGAATTCATATTTAGGTCAATATCAGCAATTACAGTTGAATCATTCACCTTTTAATCGCAAATCAGCATAATACAGCACTATGGTCGCCCACTGACCCATCTGCAAGAGGATTTAATTAAATATTTATATTTTTCGTGTTTTGTTTAAACATCCTCTTTTATTTCTTACCATTTGGGAATGTCGAATTCGAGAATATAAGAAAGTGATTTAGAAATAGCAGCTCACACTATAGGCGGCTTTTATTCAATACTAATAATGAACATCGGTAACTTCTTTATTACTTTTAGAAAAACTGAGAACCTTGTGGCACATTCCGAGTCTCCAATTTTTAATTTCCACTGTCTCGATGATCCAGTGGTGCCTCCGAACACAAAACATGGGGACCGGATTCAATAATCCGTAGGCTCCAGTATATACGAAGACTAATTTATAAACTTATAAAATAATATTCGGGGTTCGGATGAGTTCGGTGTTAATGTTTGATATGTGTTTTCGGCGTCCAAACCAAAATTAGACGATCCTAATTTGGGATTTATAAATCGAATATTTAATTATTACAAGCTTATATCGCCGCCAACTTTAATTGCGTGGACTACACTTTATGTTGCCTGGTGCGAGGTTTGTGGTCAGAAGTGAAAATAAAGGTTATATTGTGCTAGATAATATTTTCCAGGGTTCAAGGTTTTTCATGCCAAATTTCGTCAAAATTTGTTCAGTAGTTTGGGCGTGAAAATTTAACATACATACAGAACTACTTTGTATTTATACTACAATACTACTATACAGCCTAGCACTATCAGCCAATCAGGTCCACTGATGAACTCACTGGCCTTCATCTAGCGGACTCTCTCAACCTCTAATAATATTCCTTTCCTTTGTCGTATCACTCTTGTCAGGAGGTCGTGGTCGAGAATTACTTTTTTTTTTCCTCTCTATTCTAGTCACCTCGAGGGGCTATTCTAGATTCACCGAGCTAGTAGGTGAGCTCACGGGGCTCAAACCTGACGACGTTGCTAACACGAACCCTAGCAAGAGCCGTGCTTCGCAGAATCTACCACCGGATCGGAAACGCGACCTACTGAGAAGATCCGGCGAGAAACTCAGTGGGCTGTGTCTGTAGGTTAATTTACGATGACCGGGTTCAGTGTCATTGCTGTGGGCAGATGTTATGTGCCTCATGACCAATTGCCACTTCTCCCAATTTGTGGTGAGCCTGGTACACTCATGCAAACAGACGCCAACTGCCAACTTGACTGTCGGTCCATCGCATGGGTTACTTTCCAAGCGGTCTTGTGCCTTCTACTATTAGTATGAATTAAATTCAAATTATACCTGTGAGTACGGCCCTTGCAATCTTAATAAATCACGGACGTGTTCAAGTATTCCGGCTGATTTAACAAAAACGGCTGCTTCTGTGCACGTTTCGACAATAGAAGCCAGTAGGTGCATGCACGAGTTCATTTGTAATGACCGTCTGTATGTGACGATGAAAACAATTCCGGTTAGATACAAAAAAGTTTTGTTTTTAAAAGCTTAGGCGAGCGAACGGCTCTATTCCGAACACCTTTAGAAATATCGACCTTAGGTAGCGAGTTGACTCTGTTTCTGGCGTTGCTGCTGTCCATGGGTGACGATAACCATTCATCATCAGGTGGGCCGTATGCTAGTCTGCCTGCAAGGGCAATAAAAAAAAACACAGCACGTAATCGAAGTTACGAGTACACTATCAAAATAACGAATAATAAAGGCTCCACGGTATATTTATAATCCATAAATTATTTGAAAATTTTGATATTGGCTATTGCTATTACATTAGCGTAAATAGGATTTACCAAGCCGTCTCTGATATATTAGAAGTCCTACACGCTGATGGTAGGGCATTTTAATTATTAGCCTATACGTCCAGGTACCATTATCCTATCTGATTTGATCGCGAAGCCAAGTCTTAATTATGTTTCAGATTTAGCTGTGTGATGTCTATGGTTTACTTAATTACTTAGCAGGTGTACTCTCGTTTGGTATTACATGCCTATATTCTATAGAATATTGCTATAGCAATACTATAAGCAAGAATACAAAATTTTAACAAAAATAAAAAAAACGACTTCAACAAAATAAAATGTTTAACACTACAAGTCCGACTGGCGGGCTTTTGTGAGTTTTCGTGAGTTCGTTGTTCCGGGCTGTTGGCGAAGATGATATATAAATAATGTTTACACTGATTTGGTATGAGGTTTAATATAAAAAAAGCGACACAATAACTAACAAAATACAAAATGAGTTGAGAATCGTACAGTTAAACTAAGACTCGCAATATTTTACTGGTCGTCGTCGCGCGCGCTGAGGGCGTGTATTTTCGCGCTCAGAGAGCTCTGTCTCAGCGGGCGGTAAGGCGGCGGCGGGGGCGGTATCGCACGTTCGGAAATTACGTTCCGTTATATCCTCCCCCTCCGAGTCACTAGAACGCCTCGTTAGTGGCTCGGCAGAAACAACAAGACGGGGCCGTCCACGCAGGCGTCGAGGCTGTACTGGAGCTGAGACCTGACCGGTTTGATTATGATACGGCTTCAAATGAGAAGCATGAAATTTCCCTAAAACCTGCGAATTCAAATCAGTAACCTCATAGGTAGTAGGACTAACGATATTACTAATCTGGTAGGGTCCGTCACGCTTAGGCATGAACTTCTTCGTTCTACCTTTGGCGGCATCACTTAACAAGTGCGTAGAGAGAAGGACTAGATCACCTACTTGGTAACTGGGACCAGATAACTGAATTTTGTCGGTTTGCTACTTCCTATCATCCTGATGATGTTCAGCGTAAATCATTGGGGCTCCCCCTGGTCTGAAGACATCCTCGTTGCACTGCAGAAGAGAAGCTAGGCGGTTAACGCTCTGGAGGACACAGCATAGTTCCCTCGTCTTCTCTTAAGAAATCAGCAGCAGAACAAGGCGTGAGGTCACTGGGGTACTCGAACTCCAATGGAAAAACTCGTTCAGAACC